TATATGATATTTAATATGTTTTTAACACAAAACGTTAAAAAAATGCCCCTTTGGCCGTAATATAAAATCTGAAAGCTTTTAGTTTTTATTTTTTGCTTTCATTATCACATGACATGATTTCATTATTGCATTACTATCAATGCAGACAGCTTTAGAAATGACTCGCACAGTGATGTCTAAAATTTTTTTTGCATTATTATTTTCTCTCTAACGAACTAAAGGAAGTGCTATAATAGCAAAAAAAATTTAGTTATCAGATTTCAATCAAAATATCCTTTCCAATTACTCTGGAATATAGCTATATTAAAATATACTAATATATGAAAAACTATTAAAATATCATTCAAAATTTTTCAAATTTAGTATTTAAGGACATATCAACAGGAACAATATACAGTCAAAAGTCGTTAATTCGGACACCCATAATCCGGAATGATCTATAATCCGGAACTCAAAGCTACAAACTTTCTGCGCATGCGTCGCGTTTACGAGAGCGTGTAAGATCCTTACGGCTGCGAATATGTTTGTGCGCATGCGCGTTTAAATTGTAACGGAGTTATATGCTAAGCTAAAGTTATCTAATTCAGTTAATGTTGCCGATTGCGTTGTTCCTTAATCTTCGAATTGCATCCGGCTTATTATTTTTTGCAGACTGTTAGAGCAATTTTATAAAAGTAAGCTTGAACTTTCGATTATGTCAAATAGAATTTCCGATATATATTTACTACAAAGCGAAAGTATGTTTTGAAATCCGAAATCTGTTTATCAATTTCACGCTGCTCTGCGGCAGAGGGGGGGGAGGCAGAAATGTCATTATTAGATTATGATAGATTAGAAAGATTATGTCAAATAGAATTTCCAATATATATTTACTAATATGCAATTTGTATCTACAAAACGAAAGTATGTTTTGAGATCCGAAATCTGTTTATCAATTTCATGCAGCGGATTGGAAGTTGATCTGTCAGCACTATCCTTATCTTCAGAGCAGATGTTTTTATTTTATTTGGTTTATAATTCCATACTAAGTGTAGTATTTCATTCTGTCTTTGATATGATTTAAATCAAGTTCCTCATCATTATAATTCGCTTCGGATAGTGAAGAAAGGGACCCAGAGGTTATTGAAAAAGAAAACATTTCGATTGACAAATTAGTCGGTATTCTCAACACAGCAATTATAGGACTTGAACAGCGGAACTTTGTAACTAAACAAGAAATTATCTGTTTTAATAGAATTAAAGAGAAAGTATTATCACATGAAACGAAGCAACTTACATTGAAGGAAATGTTTAATAAAGTAAACAAATAAATATTAAGCTTTTCTTTTTGTAAATTTTGATACCTTTAGATCATAATTGTTCTTTATTTCATAAATTACGGTTTCATATTTTTAATTTTGTAATTTCTGCATGCCATCTTACCAGATTTAAACTGATGATCTATAATCCGGAAAAATCGATAATCCGGAATCGCCGAAGTCCCGACGAGTCCGGATTAACGACTTTTGACTGTATTAGATTTTTGCTAAAATTGATAAACTAGAAGTAGTATTTTACTTGGAACTCTTAACAGATTTTTAGAGAAAAATATAGAATCGCTAGAAGAGTTTAAACTAATGTAGATTATTTCTGTACTGGGTGGTTTGCTACCAGACCAACAAACTTGCAGTATGTGTAGAGAGTACAGAGATGGCTCGGAACACCGTAAGAATGCAGGGTCGCAAGTGCCGTAGTTGCGAGCTGTGTTGCAAAAAAGCAGAGAAGAACAGAAACAGCAACACACTAATGTGACAGAAAACATTGTATTGAAAGGTTGCATTACAACAGGTGTTCGAAATTATGACCAGAAAACGTCAGGTAGGCCTGACAGTGGTGCTGCATGAAATTCCTTACATTCTGGGAGATTACTCCTAGCAGTCTTGTAACAGATGACGCTAAACGGAAGGTTGCATGAATTGTGATCCTGCTGGAAGTTGTCATTTGCGATCTGTTTCCCGAGGTAGCAGATGAACGCATATTCAAACAATGATTTGGTTGACATGCTGATTGTGTATAGAGCTGGAGAATGAAATGAGCACACCATTCGGTTGTTGTGCCAGGAACGTTAGCCGAACAGGTATGCTCCACATCGCACGACCTTTGCAGAAGGATACAGGAGACTGGTTGTTTAACGAGAGCTAAAATAAATCGACAGAGAATGAGAAGGATACCTGGAAATGAGGCGGTCTTATGTCTGGCAGAAGACAATCCAAGTACGAGTACTCGAGTGATAGCCCAACAAGTGGGTTTATCTCAATCCATTGTATGAAGGATACTCGCAGCAAACCAAATGAGTGCATACCATCTCCATCACGTCCAGTTATTAGAGCCACTCCGGATGTTTGCTACAGGTTCCTGCAACAGAGTGCTATAGGCAGCGCATTTGCTGCGTCCATATTGTTCACGGATGAAGCATGCTTCACACGGGAGGAAGCCTTCAGTTAGTATAACACCTATGTGTAAGCTTTGGAAAACCATAATTGTACGCAACCACATGCAGCTCAAAAGCGTTTCTCGGTCAATGTTTGGGCCGACTTTCTTGGAGACTATCTCATTGGATTGTACTTTCTGCCCAATCCTTTGGATGGTAGGGCATAGTTGATCTTCTTGCTACAAATCCTGCCCAAACTTCTTGATGCAGCACATGTTCCTCCATCATTGCACGTCTCCTTGTGGTACAAGCATGACAGGCTCCTCCATGTTACACAATTGAAGTCGCTGACACCTCGATGTAACCTTTGGATAATGGTGGATAGGTTATGTTGGCCTGGTTCACTGGCCTACAAGATTACTGGACCTATCATGCATGGACTTCTTCTGGGGTCACATAAAGAGTTTGATTAACAAGTTCTTCAGTTGAAGACCTAGTCACTCGAAGATATGTAGCTTCCGGGAGGATACCTAACATGCCAGGAATCTTCCAGAATGTAAGGAATTCCATGCAGCGATGCTGTCAAGCCTGCCAAATACCTTCTGGCCATACTTTTGAACTCCTGTTGTAGTACAATCTTTCAATAAAATGTTTTCTGTCCCATTACTGTGATGTTGTTTCTATTCTTTTACTGTGCTTCTTTGCACCATAGCTCACAAATATGGCATTTGTGACCTTGCATTCCTATGTGGTTCTGAGTCGTCTCTGTACCCCCTACACGCCCTGCAAATTTGTCAATCTGGTAGCAAATCACCCTGTATATCTAGACATGTTTAAAAAAATTTCCATTTTATCTAGATATGCTATTTATTTGTATCAAACTGGACAAATGAATGAGTTTTACAAGTTTCGTTTGCAGAACTTCAAAGATCTTGCATTGTAGACGTGTTACCAAAAAATGCATTTATTTTTTTGCACTGTTGGTGATGAGGAGACACAATAGTAAACGGCAAATTTGAAAACATCTATTACTTTATTTACTGATCCCAGAATCGGTAACACTGTTCAACAAAATTCCCCAAAACTAAGGAGCATTGTTTACTGATACCTAAATATCGCAAGAATATATGTGCTGATCAAAATGAATTTATGTTTGTTGATACCATAGAAACAACACTGAAGAAAAATAAACTATTAAATTCTTTTAGATTCTTTTAGAAGTGTTTAATTTGAATATATTATAAACACTTCATTTTTTAAAAAATTAAAAATCAATTATATGTTATCCAACTGCCCGATAATGTACAGTTTTCATTGAAAAGAAATAAAGAAGTAAAAATTTAATTATATTGATATAAATTTAGAAAAAGCAGGTTTTGTATGTCAGTTTTGCTAAAAATATATTTGCGGGTGCAGTGCCCCTTGGTGAAAATTGACGGTACAAGGACACCATCTTTTACTTGTTAATTTTGATTTGTGTAGCAGCGACACAAAGCCAAAATAACGAGTCAAAGAATTGCACAAACTCGGTATCCATGTGCATATCAACCTATTTTAACATAAAAAAAATTGGAGAATTGCACAAACTTGGCATTGCGAACTCCCTTGACTTTTTCCATGTACACATCAGTCTATTTTCACTTAAAAGATCAAAAGGCAACCAATTCTACACTAGAGCCAAACAAAAAATATATAATCTCAATAAACTACATTTTAAATCAAACATTGAAATAACATAAAAAAGGAAAATATTTATAGCATCTAAGCACTATGCAAAGAAAACATCCACTTACCTTATTTAGAAATTTCCTTGTCTTCAAAGACAAACAAAATTCCTTAAAACAGCATCCAAAAACTTCCTAAAATTATCTGAACTAGAATCTATATACTGGCATTGCCACATAAATTCACAAAAATAAGAGTAAAAAATATCCTCCAACTTTCGACCGTACGCATTTCCTTCATACAAACAGGGCACTTGTAATGGCTACTAAGTAAAGCTTCATTTGTACACCTGTCAATTAATGCTTTCCCCCCCTTTCATTCCAAATCGTATAGAAACTTCAAATTAATCTTACCACATTCAGCCATTATACCGTGTAAAGAACAAAATAAACAGTGTACTTCTTAACCAACACACAAACAAGCCTTTACAAACCTTTTTTCATAAGTCAAATTCACTGCATCCACACAACCAATTCATCATAATAGGGTTTCCATAACATTCAAATGCTCAGGTTACCATAAATGAAACGACTTGGCGATAAATGAAACAACAACATAGCGATAATCCAAGGGGGCATCCTTAAATATACTCTGAGTTTCTTATGTATTTGTTGCTCATGAGAAACAGAGTTAAAAAAGTTAAACCAGGTACAAAGTAAGTAAAAATACTTTAAAGTAGAGTAATTTTTCAAAAAATATTTTTGGTTTCATTAATATTATTGTTCGCATTACCGTTTTTTAATAATTAAATATATAATAATTTGACTACATTCCTCTTTATGAGCAATATGTAAATGTTAGTTTTTTTTTTTTTTTTTTTTTTTTTTTTTTACTGTAAATTCTTCAGAAATATATATATTTCCAGGAAAGTTAACTAAAGAAAGTATAGTTTTCAAAGTTCATGATCTGAAGACAAAATATGAAGATATTAAGCATGAAGTTATTGAAAGCTTGAAGAATAAGTATATTGAATTTTTACCTCACTATCATAAGCTTGACAGACTTGATGATGATTTGAGTAAAATTACTGATGAGTTTGAAGTTTTATGTACCCAGATTGAAAGAGAGGTAAGGTTTTTATTGTTAAATACTTGTACGTATCTGTATAACATAAATCTTGCATTCCAATACACACATAGTAGAACAGAAATTTCTGAAATTGACTGAACAAAATTTAATTCATTATAAGCAAATCTTTTGAAAATCATGAGAGAATTTTATGGTTTATAGATCATGCCTTCCTGAATTTCATTTACTTTTTTTTCTGTCTCATTTTTACATTTAATTTGGAGTTTTTGTAAATATATAGGCAATCGGAAGATGCTCACATTTTAAGAATTATTTAATCAAAATTTATTGAATACAAAACTCTCATATTTAATACACCTGTATACAAAGAAAATTATGGCAGAATAAGAGGAAAATGTAATCGGGATGGTAATGTTTAAATGTGGAAGAAACTGTTGAAGTAAAAAATGCATAAAGCTCTTTATATGAAAAAAATCTCCAAGCAAAATTAGAAGCAAAAAAAGTTTATATGTTCTTATTTACATCTTACTTTGGAAAGAAAATAGATTTAAAAAAGATTTAAATTATTATTACAAATTGCAAATTATTTACAAAATGCATGTGTTACAAAATATGTATTATATACAAAATTTCCTGCAGCTTGTTTTTCTCTTATTTGAATCCCTGTGTTGATTCTGATATTACATTGCATGCATGTTGAATTGATTTAATTACATTCAAGGTGAAAATTTGCTTTAGCCCACTGCTTGGAGATTTTTTTAGAATTAACAGTAAAAGCTCAGAATACGCTGCATAAACAAGTTGTGAAGGTGGAGCTAAGTGACGTTCATAAATGGGTGGGACTAAGCTTGTGATGTCACAATGTATTCTCTATAGATATAGAAATAAGTATAATAAATTATTTATATTACAAATTAATTTTCAAATGATGCAGTAAGTGAATTGTACCAATTATTAAAATGATCAACAATGTCACAGTCTCTCATACTTTTATTTCATACAGCTTCAGTATTTTCAAAGATTTTTAAGCTTTAGCATTTATACAAATAAAAAAAGAATTTTTTTTTTAAATTTAAATTTGTATTATGGAACATTTTAATTTTATCAGTTTTACAAATTACCTTGTTGCTACATAACGACACAATTCCTTACATACCAGTAAGTAGACAATCTTCATTATTTTCTAAAAATTTTTACCTTTACATTAATAAAAAAAAAGTACTTTTTATTGCATTTCAACATCATACACAGCTTTCATATCACTGTTTCTTAAATTCGTAAGTCACATCATATTCTCTGTAGGCAAACTAGAATTCTACACATTAATAAATAAAAAAATCAACTAACTACATGCACAAGGTTTGTGTGAATTCTTTGCTTAAACGTCAACAAAGGAAAACAGAAGGACCTGGTATGATCGTGGATGAAAGTATTCTCACGAAGCGCAAAAAGAATGCGGGATGGATTCTACCACAACAGTGGATCTTTGGTAGAGTTTGCTGGGAAACAAAGGAATGTTTCCTTTTGAAGGTGCCAAACTGATCCATGAGTACTATATTAGGAGCAATAAAGGAAAATATCGAAAAAAGGAACTACAATATAGTATTCCGATTCATGGAAATTATATTGCACTGAGAAACTGGAAGAGGAAAGTTTCGAACATTTCAAAGGGAACCATAAATGCAATTTTTTTGATCGGGAAATTGAAACACACGCACAAAAAATTTTAAAAACTGTGAAGTAGTGCCAAATGGCGAAATAAGGAACACAGAGGAAGGGCACATCATCATCTGGAAAGTTATCTCGCTGTATTTATGTGGAGAAGATAAATAAAAGACCCATTTGAAAAAAAAATTAAACGATATTAAAATGGTTATGCCTCCAAAGTAAAAAATTCTTAAAACTAAAATTTTTTATGTGTATACTGTGTCTTGTCACCAATAAAGTCTGCTTGGCGAGATTTGCACCGGCGAAATAGAAAAGTACCGTCAAATTTCTCATAATGAACGAAAATAAGATAAGAAAATAAATACTACAAAAATGGATCGCACACATATTATCAATGAACTCATATTATCAAGTGCAATTATGATAGCAAACACTATGTATTAAAATAATGAGGTAAAAGTTATTTATAGGTTCAATGCTTACAATTTTGCTACTAATGAATAGATCGAGAGACAGCCGATATTTATCATAAGTTGGAAAGCATTATCAACATATAAAAGAAATGTCTAAAATATAATTTGCAATTAAAACAAGAATACAAATTTAAAATACACAAACGATATATTAAACATTACACATAAAATACTTTACATTACTGCTTGGCATGACACACAACGTTGCTTTGCCCACGTGCACAATGATCTGTATTCGCTTGAAAAACATCAAAGAATTGCACAAACTCGGTGGCCTATTTTTCACTTAAAAAAAAAAAAAAAAAAAAAATCAGAGAATTGCACAAACTCGGCATTTTGCACTGCCTTGGCTTTGTCCATGTTCACATTGATCTATTTTCTATTAAAAAAAATCAAAGAATTGCACAAACTCGACATTGAGCACTGCATTGGCTTTGCCCTATTGATTCTAAAATTGAGTTGAAAAGATAACAAAATATTAAAAATAAGCAACTTCAAAAAGAAACTTAAAAGAAAAAAAAATGTTTCTTCCCTTTTCAGGAAAATAGAAAGTCTTTTTGGGTAGTTTTTTTTTTTTTTTTTAAATTATGTCAGGAGGAAACTTCTCTGAACTTTTGTTCTGTTCTGAACTGTCTTTAAGAAAATTTACTACAATTGCTGTTAAAAAGGCATGATAACATTCATCACTCAATGTGTGGTTGTGTAATTTTCGCCACATATATTCCATATATGAATCAAATTCGCCATCTACGTGGTTTGTACTGCGATGAAAATGACGTTGCCAAAACTTCAAATTCCAGCAACCCCAATCTGTCCCCATTTTCAATGAGAAAAGCAATTAAAGCATTCAATTCATTCACTGGCCAGGAAGAGAATAAAGCAACTGTAGCTACTTCATTTTGATATATGCATAATTTCAAAGCCTCATAAGCCATAGAAAAGACGACGCAGTTCCACGAAGATTATCATTATGAATGTTTTTATCAAATTACGAGAGCACTTTTCTAATAAATCCAGTTATGAAATTGTTACATTTGCTGCTGATTTGAATGGTGTTTCTGTGGCAAGCACAAATCGCATGAAATCCAAACGGAAAGAAAATTATGTATTTTCTCGCCTGGGGGGGGGGGAAGACATCTGAAAGCCGCTACATGGCAAACAACATGAGCTTAATTTTAGCAACAATACAAAGAAACATTAACAGTTTCTTTTATGGAATGAGCCCTGAAAAGGTCATTCTAGCCTTGTTAGTGTTTGTTCTCAAGTTAGACTGCCATGAGGTATAGTGCAATCAAGAAGGCCCAGTATTGACATCTTGCGTTGGCAAGAATATTGTGCGTCGGCAACTTTAATTTTATACATGGTCAAGTAAAAGCAAACCTCACAAAAATCTAAATATTTTTAGCTTCTCACTTTGTTTTTTCTTTAGTTAGGCCAAATGTCTTGGTTGAATTAATTTAATTATGAAGCTTTTACAGTATTTCACAGTGCCCCTGTGAAGAAGCCACAGCACACAGTTTGGGAACTACTGGCTTAAGGCAAAGTCATCATTTGAACCCTTATGCACATAAGATCTGTCATGTAAATTTCTTTTTATGGTATGTAAATATGTCATGTAAATTTCTTTTTATGGTCTGGTATATATTTTAAATGTGTAATGCATATAATACTCCCATTAATTCCAATATGGAGATACTTCGCCAGCAGCTGAATGGTTAAGACCACTAAAGACTGATGTTTCAACCAGTTTTGAAACTAGGAGAGCGGGCTGGCTGCACAGATGATTTTCGTGATTTGTGTGTAACTTGAATGTGAGCCAGTCTCCCTGAGAAAGTCCTCAACAGAGGCATCCCTTCCTGTAAACAGACAGCTCTCATATTTAAATAAACTTGATCTAATACAAAGCTAGTTTCTCTTCAGTCTATGCTGTAGATGTTTGAGAAGTATCTAGTCTAGAACACACCTGTATCTCTGTATTCAAGATAAGAAGTATGTATCACGAATGACCGGCATCCTTTTAAGCAACTTTGTAGTTAATTTCATTATTTACTTATTTATGTTTGTAAATTTGGTTTAATTTATGCAGTTTTGATACGTTAAACATTTGTCAATGTTTTGTTTTCCACTATTTTTTCCTAAATAAGGTTTTATTTTTATTTTTTGTGCCATTTTCATCTTTTTACATTTCGAAAAACAGTAGGTGTAGAAAAATGGAAAAGTGCCTTATAACGCATAATGCTTAACATGGGATCATGCACGCTGTTTTTAAAAGTGTTTGTTTTGTTTTGCTTTTTTACCTCTTGAAATTTGTTCCATTAATTTTCAAATAGCTTGGATATAGCCTTCTGCTTAAAAAGCATATAAGGATAATTTGGTACTCTTCTGTTCTGATTAAGAAATGTATATATGTATGCGTATGTGTGTTCATGTATGTGTGCATACATATATGCATGCAAGCACATACGCATGTGCAGACGTGCATACATTCCTGAATCCGGTCCCGATAGCAGATGAGTACTGCTATCGGGACTTTAAAAGTGTTTGTTTAGTTTGCTTTTTTGACTACTTTAGAAGTGTTTGTTTTGTTTTGCTTTTTTACCTCTTGAAATTTGTTCCATTAATTTTCAAATAGCTTGGATATAGCCTTCTGCTTAAAAAGCATATAAGGATAATTTGGTACTCTTCTGTTCTGATTAAGAAATATATATATGTATGCGTATGTGTGTTCATGTATGTGTGCATACATATATGCATGCAAACACATACGCATGTGCATACATTCCTGAATCCGGTCCCGATAGCAGATGAGTACTGCTAATTCATTAGTTATCCTCTAACTTTTATGTTTAAAAATATAAAAATGTTCATATGGATTTATTTCAAAATACAGAAGTTACGTCATTTAATTATCTTGTCAAATGTTTTCAACATATGCGTATATTTAAAGGGCAAATTTATTTATTCAAGCTTCTTTTCTCTTATATGGTGCAAAACTGCTGCTTGAACCATAATTTGTTATACTTTACGCAGTCAAACTCAGGTTCCAAAGAGGCACTGAATAAAATGTTGATTCATTACTAATGCTTCTGGAGCTCAAATTGCATCAAAATCTAGCCCTAATACTTTTCAGTTTTCGAGATAAATCTTAATTTTAGCCAAAGGGCAGCAGTCTCCTAAATAAGAGGTCTCTGGCACTTCTATTATGAAACAGAATCATAATTTGCCCAGAAAAACCTTTTGATTATGAACAATTTTAGTAATAAGTAAAAAAAAAATGTATTAGTAATAAATCAATTTTTATATCTCAATACATGCCTGTCTTTTCCTTGGAAGCAAATGAGATTAAAACTTTTAAGAAAATAAAAGCCTTCCATCCACGTGTCGAAACTTTGTTTTCCTGAAAGTGCAATGTAAATTTATGAGAGTTTGTTAGAGAATGGGTGAATGTTTTGTTCCCAAAAATATTAGAGGTAATCACTATGGTAATGCTGTTATATATACTGATTCAATATTGCTGATTTCAGTTGTTTGCAGTCTATAATAAAACAAGGAAAAGAAAACATTGTTTTGGTTTCTAAATGTGCTGCAAATTAAATTAGGTTTAACATAGGGAGATATTAATATAAATGGTACAAAAACATTCGTCACTAATGACTTCAGATGAAAAAGAGGTGTGTAGGCTTTTATAAGAGGGGAAAACAAAATATGAGAAATTGTCACTTGGAGAGAACCATATCACATTCTAGCTTCTCTCGAGAGCCAGAAGCAAGTTCTTAGTTTTTGAGTGAAAGTGTTATTCCATCGGGAGCCCAAAATAAGATGAGGTCTGGTATTTTATTGTTTTAACTATTTATTCTTAATTCAGTAAATTTTTAATTATCTATTTACATTTTATTGAATTTTAATTATTTTTTATTTTATTAGTTATTTTATTTATTGATTTTTGTTTGTCTTCCTTGGCAGGCTTTTGTAGGACTCTGATTTCTAATTTTTTAAATTAAGCCCTGAGTGATATATCAAATAATTTTGTTCTTGAGAAATTGCAGTTGAATTATTTAAACTTTTGAATGATTTAGTTGAATGATTGAACATTTTCCAGTTAACAAACTGGATAATAATTTTCAGGTGAGAATTCATATGACTGAACTTGGGATAAAGCTAATAGTGCACACGGAAAGATAAAAACTTATCTTAGTAGAATCTTTGTTCTCGTGAAAGTTTTGTTAAATTATGTAAAATTAATGTAATTTACAAAAATTTTTAAGATTTGGAGCTTTTGTGTATAACTGATGTTTATAATTTAAAATATTAAGCAGTTTATTAATATTTTCTGATTTGAAAACTGTGCTTTTAAAAGTATTATCTACAACTTGTATGCTTTTTAAACTTAATTTGTTTCTCATTTTTTCCTTCCCCTAGATTAAGCCACAAGTGGTGAATTCTGATGATGGATTCCAAAACATTTTGGAAGATTTGAAGAAGACCAAGAAAATTCAAATGATTGCATCAAATCTTATTTTACTTCATCAGCATCTAAGTGGAGCAAAACGTGCTTTGCTGCAGTCTTCGTATTTGCATGCTGCCCGTGATCTGCTAGACTTTGAGCTGGTTTATAAATCTATTGATTTAGAAAATCAAACAGATGCAATAGTAATTCATGCTATCAAAACAGAATATTTAGTTACCAAAACTAATTTAATACATAGTCTAGAAACATTATGGCACAAGAAATATGTCATTAATAGTATTCAAGAAGACAAAAACAAAAAAACTGTTACATTTACTATTCACAAAAACCCAGATGAAGATGAAAATGTCTTAAAAACTTTAAAACTTTTAAATAACCTTTCACGTCTGTTGAAAGAATTCGGAAAACAGTTTTTAAATGTCGTATGTAATACTGTATTAATGAATAATGTTAAAATTGAATGTGATGTATCCTCTGTTTTAACTCTAACTATCATTAATGAGCAGAGTCCAATGCCAGAGGAAGTATTTGAAACTTTAACGCAGATTTTTTTATTTCTTAATTCAGAAATTTTCTATTTACCAACTGATATAGGGAAAGATAACTCTGGACATATAGCAATGAGTGAGTTTGGAAAGTCAATTGAAAAGGATTTTTGTTCATTAGTTATAGAAAAATGCTTAAAAACAATAGTTCCAAAGCAAAGTAAGCAGCTGGATGCTTTTCATAAAGAAATAGTTTCTGCTGAAAAATTTTGTTCCGTTCTCAAAGAACTGAAATTTTTTACTATGCCTGAAAATAAACTTTTGGAATTTATATATAGTGTTGATACTCTCCCTGTGGATAAAATGACTCAAGTAAGGAAATTTAATTTTGAAATGTACTTATTTTATTTTAATTATTTTCTCTAATGTTCAGCTAAGGAGGTAAAATGTATTGGTGTATAAGTTATGTGCATTGTAAATATTTAATCTTTCTGAATTTTTTTAATTGTTATAGATCATTGTGGGGGGGGGAGTCAAATGGTACTTTCTTATATTTACAACTCCCATCATGATGCTGACAAAATTATTGCCAAATTTGTGTTTACTTCTCACACACAGTTTTTGATTGCATTTCTTCATGTTGTGGAATGTGGAAATCCATATTTCCACAACTACTTTTAAAATGACATTAAAAACATTTTCTTATTCCAAATTCATTATCATCATATGAATTCCACTAGAAACGCTTCAAGATGATGGAATGCCCACAACTTTTCAACATTTTATGTATGAGTAGCCATTTTTGAATCCACAAAATGGAAACTGTGATTCAGAGCAAAGTTTCATATCAGCAAAGTCACAGCCAGTCCTTTCATATTGTTTGCTTATCAACAGTCTAAATAAATCATCAGTCTCTCTTTATATGAATCTAGAATTTTTTTGCACAAGTGTGGTTGCCTTTCTTTCAAAACCTAAATAAAGAGCGCTCACCATTTTTTTGGCATAACCTGCCAAATATTCACTGCTGTGGATAGAACCCTACTGGCATAATTTTTTTGCAAAACAAACATACTTTTGCCTATTTGATTAACTGTCATAAATCTGCTTCAAATGTGGCCATTTTGGCATTTTCGAATGCAAGGTAAAATGACTCTTTCTTGGAAGAAGGTGATTGGTTTAGAAATTGTAATGATTTGAATTATAAAATATAGTTGCTATTTTTATCGCATGCATTGTTAGTTGATTTTCCCCTTTGTGAATTCGTGTGCGCAAGTGAGAAAAACTTAATGAGAATTCTGAATTTAAAAAGAAGATATATGTAATAAAAGGTTTCGTGCTTTTTTTTTCCCCCTTTGTATTTGGTGAATACAGAATTATTATTTTCTCTTAGCTAGATATTGATAACAATCTAAACAATATAGCCTTTTCCTCTGTCGTGGGTAAATAATAAATTGATAAAATTTTTGAAAAATGAAAATACGTTAACACATGGCCAACGTATGGTTCTTCTTGTGACAAGTGAACCAATTAACTGATTATGAACACTTCCTTCCTCGCTAGCTAGGAGGACAGAACTTTGGCTTAGATGGCAAATTGCTGACCAGCATAGTTAGCTGAAAGCACAAGCAGCTGCCTTCTGTGACAAGAGTATTGGAAAGTCGGTACCACACTACGCTAAATATGCCAGAATGTGGCTATGTAGAAAAGTAGCTGGAAGTTTTAGCTAAAGATTTTATCTAATAAAACAATTTTGATTTTCACTGTGGTTTTCATTTCACATCTGATTGGGTTTTGGAAAAAAGAAAAATAGCCCTCATCTGTTAAAAACACATCCTAATAGTGATGATAGCCAAATAGTGAGGATATTTTTGTAACTGTGTCATCAGCTTGTCATTCTTCTGGTGAGACTTGAAAATATCAGGTGGAAGGCATGGAATACTTAATATTGAGGCTTTAGAACTGGCTTTTATATAAGGCCAGTGTTCTTTAGAAAGATATCTACTTTAACTAGTACTTTATGACCTTGAGCATCATGCATTTGATTCTCAGTATTCTTGTCTTCTTGCGCTTCATATATATTATATTATAAAGCAAATTGTTAACCTAGATACGATCAAAATCTGAGATTCAATTTCTACAAAATGCAAATTGTTTTAATATTACAATAAAGCAAAATATCACAAGCTGAATTGTTAAACTTGCCATTTTGATAACAGCAAAACGTTTGCTCGGAGGTGCAGCTGTTTTTTTCAGAATTCTAATTTTAATAGTTTCAAATTAAATTATTAGTTTATCTATGTTTCAACTTCTTACAAACAGAAATATTTATTTTATAGGATATTATGAATAGAGCTCGATCTTTCATGAAAAAGAGCTTACATCAGACTGTGACTGTTGGCTCAGAAATTGAATCCAGTGGTGAAAAGAATATAACTAATCTGAATGAAACAGATCAAACAAAAAATCAACTTAGCAAATCAGCCTTTATATTTCCTCGGTGCCAGATCAGGTATTTTACTATTATTTAATCATTATCTATTGCAATCTTGTCTCGTTTGTGCTATTCTGTGTAAATCTTTCGATCAGTTTTTAATACTTCTATTTTTAATGAGTAATTATTTTTTAATTCTGTAAATTTTTGGTGAATTCCCATGTTTACCCTCAAAATGCTGAAAAGTGCATTTTCAAGACAAATACTGCTTTTGGTATAAAAGAATTAGTCTGTGAATTATCTAGGGTATCATTATTACAGAATGCAAGTAAAAATGAATTATTTTCAAACTCTTAAATATATTAAAATGATTGAACTGTTAAAATAATGCTTAAATAATAATAATGAATTTGGGGGTAAAGATGTGAATGAGAAATTCATGAATGCCTGGGCTAGAGGAAATGACCTTGACTAGCTTGCATAAAACTTCAGTCTGTAACCAACTCTGATGCAGTTTCATCTTAATGTGTAGATTCCAGCAATATGAGATAAGATTCAGTTTCTTTTAGAAGAAACTGGAATAAAGGGAAGAAATTAACATTGATGCTCCCTTCGCTAATGGGGATAAATTTACTAATAAGAAGTATAATTTATTATTTGTGCAATAAAATTCAGAATAATTAAATAATCTTTTTCGAAAAATCCAGTGGAATAATAAGATAAAGTCTTATTCATTTACTCATGTGATATTTCATTTAATTTTCTTGCACTTGTACATGTTGGCTGAATAAAATGACCATTTTCATTTTGTATATCAAAATGATCAATTTAACATTTTATAAATAAATTTAAGAATTTGTTTTATAAGTTTGTTTATTTAAATAAAAGTTTGTGAGAATATTTCAGTGTTTTAAACATGCCCACTTTATAAGACTGTTAACTGTTTTCTTTGTACCATAGCCTCTCCTCTTTTCTGTAATTAGTAACTCTTGGCAAAAGGAGCTCCACTCTTTTTTATAATGAAAGTTTTTAGTGGGTCTATGAATATGAACTTTAATTTGTAAGTCATTAATTATATGTGTAATTTCCTTTAAAAATTTACAAAATAAATTTATTTTATGCAAAAATAATAACAAAAATTGTGTTTTTGTTACATTGTTTTTATGGTGATGTAAATTTAGTTTCGTAATTTAATTTTCCTTTATGATTTAGTTTTGTTTCGTACTGTTTCTAAATAATTATGTTTGTTTGCTATTTTTGTCATTGATATAAACTGAAAATCCGCTTCGGAATCTATTTAAATTCACAGATGCGATAGCAGATATAATAGCAAGTACACATTAATAATAATTATATACACATATTAACAAAAAGGTTATAGCAAGTATATAAATGAGGCTAGTTAAATTATATAGAAAATGAAAATAAACTAGTTATATAAATTTGATGTATGAATAAAGTGTAGATATAATATAAATTTGAAATGAGTTAAAAATTTTTCTTCTGTTGTTTAAAAGAAAAAAAAAAAAAGAAAAATGGGGGAGAGGCTAGTCACCCCCCCTTTTTTTAACTTTCCTCCCTTGCTGTGGAAGAATCTTGCCAATCTCATGTAAGCAAATTTATTGTTACTCTTTCAAAAGCCGACATGAAGAAAACTCCCAAAACACTACAAAACCTTTGGTGTCCATGAGTTTGTTCAGATGGTGCACAGTTTAGAAGATACTGTCTTCCTTAAATGTTTTACAAATACTTAATATTTTACAAAAATAAGCAAAAATCATTGTGTATAATGAAAAGCTTTATATCTCTAGAATCTATAATAAAGGACTGCAGTTATCTCTAAAATCTATAATTAAAGGACTGCATTAATTCTGTAAGTGTGCCATGATACTTGACCTGGGCTCCATTCCAGGTGAGCAGGCTGGCTGAATGAGCATTTCCATGGTTTTTCCCATGTGTAATGTGTATACAAATTAGTTTCCACTAGAAATTGCTCCACAAAGGCATCCCTTCTCTTAGGCAGATAACCTTTGAGTACTTTGCCATAATTAAATAAACTTGAATTACTGAATGCTGTAGCTGTAGCATTCAGTAAATTTGGGATAAGCTTAAATACAATTTCAAGGCCTGCCATGTGACACATGGAGAAAATACCAAACCTTTTAAGTCAGTACGAAATGTCTGGAGACTTTTTTTTTTATTATTTTAAAAATTTAGGTAATTAATAGCTACAATAATGTTTTATAATTCTAGTATTCTTTTTTGCAGGCCGTATTTTATAACAAGAAGTATTCTGATTAATAACTCAGAGCTATTTAAATTTTTAATCCTATGTAATGAATAAAATGAACAATTTAAATTTTAAAAAATTTTTAATGGAATTCCATCGTTTTAAGAAAAATAACTTAAAATGCACAGGCTTGCCATGCTATCTGGAAAACCGGGGAAAGTCAGGGAATTTAAATATTTTAGTCAAAATCTGAAAAAGTCAGGGAATTTCATAGGGATTCATTCCCCACAAAGGCGGATTTTCCAGCAACCTCGAGAATCAAGAGACTCGCATGTGTGGTGCATGTTGAACGAAAGACAATACCTTACCATTTTCATATAATACAAAATTAGTTTAGTCCTAGTATACAGTATACACGGAATTTGGCGACATTATGATGAGCAGTAAATGGGTCATTTTGGTGTTGGCTATAACTTTAAAAGTTGTGCCAAGGCCATGCTGTATACTTAAAATATTAAATCTGTCATTAGGGAACCAGAGAATATCAAATGGCTGCATTCTGGTGATCTACTAATAGAAACTGTCTTGCCTATTCAATCTGTTATCCTCCTTGGATTAAAGAAACTAAGTTGATAATATTTCAGAACATGAATCATTAAATTACTTTTGTTACATAATTTCCAGGATCCACCTGCTATTCATATCTATCGCAGAGCTGTCCGACCAGAATGTTTGGGCTTCAAGACGGATCAAGATGCATAGAGAGGGTTAGTTGATAAAAATGAAGCACATAACTCTGACCGTCTGTTCACCTGATCTGCCAAAAGTATTAAAGATAAGTACAGTCAAAAGTCGTTACTCCGGACTCGTCTGGACTTCGGCGATTCCGGATTATCGATTTTTCCGGATTATAGATCATCAGTTTAAATCTCGTAAGATGGCATGCAGAAATTCTAAAATTAAAAATATGAAACCGTAAATTTATGTGAAATAAAATAAAGAACAATTGTGATCTAAAGGGCCATCAAAAGTTGCAAAAAGAAAAAGCTTAATACTTATTTGTTTACTTTATTAAACATTTCTTTCAGTGGAAGTTGTTTAAGTTTTGCTTCGTTTCATGCGATAATACTTTCTCTTTAATTCTATTAAACAGACATAATTTCTTGTTCAGTTACAAAGTTCCGCTGTTCAAGTCCTATAATTGCTGTGTTGAGAACACCGACTAATTTGTCAATCGAAATTTTTTTGTTTTCAATAACCTCTGTTACTTTCTTCGCTATTGAAAGCAAATTATAATGACGAGGAACTTGTTTTAAATCATATCAAAGACGGAGCATATCGAGATGAAATGCTACATTTGGTAAAGGAATTATAAGACCAAATAAAATAAAAAACATCTGCACCCTGAAGATAAGGGATAGTGCTGACAGATCAACTTCCAATTCATTACGCGCCCGCAGCGGTTTCCCCCATCCCCACACCGCCGAGCAGAGCAGCGTGAAATTGATAAACAGATTTCGGATTTCATAAAACATACTTGCGCTCTTAGTAAATCCTTTACATATTAACAAATATATATTGGAAATTCTATTTGATATAATCGAAAGTTTAAGCTTACTTTTATAAAATTGCTCTTACAGTCTGCAAAAAATAATAAGCCGGATCCAAATTCGAAAATTAAGGAACAACGCAATCATCAACATTAACTGAAAATAGATAATTTTAGCTTATACGTTCATTATACATAAAACGCGCACGCGAAAAAACGTATTCTGCACTTGCGCACACTCATATGCGCAGTCGTAAAAAGGTCTTACGCGCACGCGTAAACGCCTATGCGCATGTGTCAACGCGGCGCATGCGCAGAAAGTTTTTATTTTTGAGGTCCGGATTATAGATCATTCCGAATTATGGGTGTCCGAATTAATGACTTTTGACTGTATTTGCACTGTGACATGAGTACCAAACCCCTTAAGATGCTTTCGATGCCAGTGCTTTGGCCTTTCAAAAGTGTCTTGTCATCGCAAACTCACATGTGTGCGGAAGGCTATGTGAGTGAAAATTGCAATGCCAAGCTGTCATGTGCAAAGTGTAAAGAGCAGCACTCAATATTCTCTCGACTACCCAAAATGGAAAGTAGAAAAGTAGGTGCAAGTGATAAAAGTAACGAAGACTGTTTCTTATGCAAGGACAAGAAAAATAATAGCAAATTCACAACCATGCCCAAATTTATCATATGCCAGTGCACTTAAATCTGAGAAATAATTTGGCACGTAAACAACTGTATACACACAAAATAAGCATCCTGTTCTAAATTTGCAACAAAATATAGCACAGAAACCTGCACCTTCAATAATAAAAATATTATATAATTAAGAAATGAAACAAAACCCAACTGAAAATAAGAAAGAAGTAGACAATCTCCAAAATCTCCTGAAAATTCTTGTGCAAGCTCTTTTGGAAGCATCAGTTCAGATGATAGAGATACTGGCATGGATGTAAAAGAGCGCTTGGTCATCCCAAGGCACCTACTTCTACATAAAACAAAAACACAGCACTGAAAATGTAAATGTCATTCATAATAGCCACCCTCATTTCATGGAATTGTCACAGCTTCCACCAAAATCTCATAAACATCAAAGACTTGATTGATAAACATCATTCTGTGCATTTGGCAGTACAGGAGACTCTTCTGAAATCAAAGAAAGAAGCTAAACTTTTAAGGTTCTCATTTCTCAGGAAGGACCATCTGCTATATATTCAATATATCTGGCAGTATAGGTCTCATTTCTCTTGACTACCTCTCCAGTTCATTTCCTTTAACAATGAGCCTTCAAGCCATTACCATTCAAATAAATATAAGTATTCTGATGTCAGTTTGTTGTGTCTATTTGCCTCCAAATGAATGCATGGATCAACAAGATTAAAATGATTTAATAGAGCAGCTGTCTGAGCCTTTTTTTTTTTTTTTTTTTTCATAATAAGGGACTTTAATGCCCATAGTCCGCTCTGGGGAAGTAAGGACACAAATCCTCAAGATAGACAAATCCTGAAAATGACTGGAGATTATTGCCTTTGTCTTCTTAATAATGGACAGGATACCTGCTTCCACGATCCTACACATATATTTCATGCTGTTGATTCATGTTGTTCACCATCTCTTTTGCCATATTGTACGTACATTTAGTTTTGGAAATTATCCTTATATTAGTGATCATTTCTCCATCTTTATATCTCCTGCATGATAATGAGTAAATGTCATGTCAAGAGCACCGCATCTCATAGGGCAGATTGGGAATTCTTCTCCTCTCTTGTAGAACTTATGGAAGTGATAGTAAAAGTTGTGCCTATTGATGCAGTGAGTACCATTGCAGATATTATTAAAGCAACTGCTATCTCTATACCTGTAACGTCAATAAAGCTGAAATAATATTCAAAACTATGGTGGAACTGTGAATGCAAAGAAGCACTGAAACAACAGAAAAAGTCTTCGGAGCTTTTCATAGGTATTCCACACTGTCAAACCTTGCCTTAAAAAAGCCAAAGCTAATGCAAGAAAAGTATGGTACAAAAGCCAAAGGGATTCATGGGTATCATATGTGTCATAAATATCATCCTTTATGCCAAGTCAAAGAGTATGGGAAAGAGTTAAAAAACACGTGGATTGTATAAAGACCACTCACTTTCCTTTCTGGAAAAAGAAGGCCAAGTGATCAGCACAACAGAAGAAATTGTGTATATAAAAAAATAATTGAGAATTTTGCTGCCATTTCTAGTAGCAGTAACTACCTGCCGGCATTTCTTTCTGTCAAACTACACTTTGAGAAAGCTCCCACTGTATTTAATGCTACCAATGGTAATCCATATAATAGAGAATTTACCCTGTTTGAGCCAAGTAGAGAACTTATAAGACATGTAGATTAAGTCCAGGTGTAAGTTATGATATACTGAAACAAACGAAGTCTTTGGCTGCCCTTCTCACCCTCTTCAGTTGAGTGTGGGAGGAATATTCTTTTCCCTATACATGGAAGAAAGCGATTGTCAGTCTTATAGCTAAACTAGGCAAAGACCCGAAGAGTCCCTCCAACTACCAGTTAATCACTCCTATGACCTGTGTTTGAAATTATTTGAAAAGATGGTAAGCTGCCGCCTAGCCCATTATTTAGAAAAATCCAAAGTAATCTTACTTTATCAGAGTTATTTCCGCAAAGGTAAAATAACAGTAACTTATATACTTTTGGAAGCCTCCATCCATAAAGCCTTTGTCAAAAGCAACCATTTAGTTTCAATATTTATTTATATTCAAGAGGCTTGTGTCAAAGCATGGAGATATGGTATGTTGTGTGACCTTTACATCAGTGGCTTGCGTGGCAACCTGCCAATTTTCATACAGAATGTTTTAAAGGCTCGGGTATTTTAAGTAATAATTGGCTCAGTATTGTCAGATGGTTTTTGTCAAGAAGAAGGTGTGCCTCAAGACTATGTTCTTAGTGTTACCCTTTTTAGCTTTAAAAAAAAAAAAAAACTCTGTTCTAAAAGAACTTTCTCCTTCCATTTTAGGGTGATTGTATGTTGATAACCCGCAGGTAAGTTGTCAAGGTGCAGACTTAAGATATGTGGAGAGGGCAGTTGCAGGTTGCTCTAAACAGGATCTAGAGTTAGTCAAACAGTGAGGGCTTTATATTTGCAATTTGTATTTATGTCCTTCAAGTCCTTCAAGATTAAAAGAGTATTAAGTCCTTCAAGATAGTAAAGTGCTGCAGAATATTGCTCTTTACTTCGCATTTACAGATCACTTGTATGCTCCAGATTAGACTACTCCTCAACTGTGTCTGAATTTGCAAAGCATTCTGTTTTAGTGAAACTTGATCTTATCCATTATCAGGCTCTGAGAATTTGTTCTAGAGCATTCAGAACACCTCCTATCCAGAGCCTATAAACCCTTGCTTCAGTTAGAGTATGAGTAGCTGTCTCTGTATCAATATTTCAGTATTATGTCACATTCTGATCATCTTCTCCAGATCTTTATGCTTGATGACTGTTACAATCTTTTATTTTCTGCACAATCCCTTAATGTACTTCCATACTTGGATATTTGAAAAGGACTGAATCATTAATAGAAAAATTTTGCTTGTCTGATATGAAGGTCCAGGCAGTGAAGGATCTAGATATCCCGCCTGGGATAATCCAAAAATTGAGGTTCTGGATGTCTTTCAAGATCTTGAAGAGAAACACTAATGGTGTTTCACACACTAATACAAGCAAGTTTTTCTTACAAGGTGAATACAGCACTTTTATTCTCATATCTTCTGATGGTTCAAAATCAGCTGGCCATTCAGAAGCATTGTTTGTGACTAAAAACCATACCAAAAGCAAATGGCTGCTCAACTCCTGTTCTGTATGTAGTGCTGAATTAACTGCTATATATATTTTCTTACATTCATTTCTAAGCAATTGCAGAAAAAGTTTATAATTTATGCTGACTTATTAAGTGCTCTAAATCCTTTAGATAGTTTTTCTGACACTTAAAGTCCTCTACTGGTTGACGTTTTAACAATGTACAAAAAATTAGAGCCATGGGTATGAGATTCCTCACTGCTGAGTCCCTGGACATGTAGGCATGAAAGGTAACAAGCTGGCAGACACAACAGCAGTCTGAAATTGCTTTGTTAAATCCACTTGCTCCTTACTGTGATATTAAAATAATCATCAAGCAGAATAGCAGTTATTCTGCGATGATCCGTTTCTGAATAAATTTAGAAGCGTCAAACATTAAGTAGAGTACTGGGAGACCACTAGAAAGAGAAAGGAGGAAGTCTTATCGACACCTGTAAGAATTGGTCAATTGATCACTCTTGAGTCGCAAGCAATTATCTTTTGAGGGCTGAGAGGAAACCTGTATGTTCAAATGGTAATAGTGTTCTATCTGTGTATTGCTTTTTAATTGAATGTGCACATTTTAGCAGTTTGGTCTGAAGTATTTTAATGACTGTGACTTGCCTCTTAACTGTTTAGTTGGGAAAGAGGCCAATGCCAAGTTATTTTACTACCTGAAAATGACTGGTCTTTATCATTTAATTTGATTTTATCTTGATATTTTAATGCTATGTATTTTAATTTATTTCATACTTTATGATCGTATTCCTGTTTTTCATGTGATATTATTATCACAGTCTTATATTTCATCTCAGTTTTCATTTTACTATTTCTGCTAATTTTATAAGGATGCTATTGTTTTAACCTTTTCCGGACTGGCTTCACATGCATGCTTTCCCTAGGAACGTCTCTTAAAGCTGGGTGTTCCACCTACATATCATTGGAGAGAATACACATAAGGGATGACTCATGCATATATGCATTTTAAGATGAAACAATTTTCAAAGACCACTAGATGGCATTCTGTGTCTATTACTTTTGAACTTAATATAGTTTTAGGTTCTTGACCTTCAGTCTGATCACTTTCTTCATAACATTAGTATCAGCTGTTGTGGGGAGGGAGGGGAAGCATAATGTAAACAAACAGAGCTTGGACTCTTTTAGCTTTTCTGATATCCATTGGAATCCATTTTATTTTATTTATTTATTTATTTTGTTGTTTTGTTACTATGTAGGGTCTTTTAGGGTTACTGTGTGGGGTTCTGTTATGCTTTCCATTGCTTTTATAGCTTATATTTGCATACTTCCCTTTTTATTTCAGAAATCCTCAACTTAGTTTACTATGGCAAGCAAGCGTTATTTATCAAAGGAAAGATGTACTTGCATGGTAAATGACTCAATTAGCGAGTGAGTGATAAAAGTGATGATTCATTTTCTAAAGCGTTAAGGAGCGATATTTCTATTGATTATCATAGGGACATTTTTTCAGTGACTAAACTCACTGAGTGTCTGCCTCCCGCTTCCTGTGAAATATTTTGATGCTTCTTGTAAATAGTTCTTGAAATTTTGTTTATTAAAGCTTATTAACGTATTTTGTCAATTAAAATTTCAGAATAATTTGAATAGGGCTTCTAAAAATTATTTCTCAATGTAAGCAATTTTTTTAATAAGATATATATAAACCCTCCCCCCCTAATGTTAGGCTTAGTGATGTAAAACTCCTGTCCTGTAAAAAAATCTACAGTTTCAAATCTCGGGATGGGTTAAATATTAATAAATAATGCTTGATTAGGGTTTGAAATATGTTTTTTAATAATTTTTTTTTTTCTAATTTTGAGCAAGTTACTTGGACTTATTGATGATGGCTTTTCTTCCTTTACAGTACTTCAGTGAAAGACCTGAAAAATTTTCTTTATACAATTAAAGATGAAGCAAAAAATATTGGATCTTCGTACGTGTTGAGAATTTTTTATGTCGCTAGAAGTATTTGTGAACTTTATTGTTGTGTTGTGCCTACTTTTCATAAACAGGAAATTGAAAGCGTTCCCCAGCAAACAGGTAATTTATTTTATAAGCATATATTTCATATTTTATTATTTTTTATTATATTTATATAGTTAAGTGTCAATTTTGTTTTTAATACATCTTTCTTTTACAGCTATATTTCATAATAACTGTATGTATTTAGCTCATTACCTTTGTGTCCTTGGTACTGTTTACGAATGTGATCTGGAATCTGATATTCCTAAGACTTTTGTTGATTTGGTGCAAGACATTCGAAGGTTAGGAACAGAAGCTTTTCTCTGCCAGATGAGATGTCAGAGAGAGCAACTCCTTCAATTGTTGAAAGAACTAAAAGGTAATTAATATGCAAAAGTTTCATGGAGATCACTCTAAATTTGTCGATTCAAAACAATGTGCAATTTAGCCAAAAGTCAGCTCAAAATATAACAACTTACTTAACAAACATAAGAACTCAAATTGGCAGAATTACTTTCATATTAAATTGCTAAATACATCAAAGCTTTTTATTTGCAGTATTTTTCTGTAATTATGTATTGTAAACTTTTTTTTTTTTTTTTAAATTTTTTAGATTCTCTAGTTGATAACATGTTGTCTACTGATATGATATGTGCAAGGATGCATATATGGCTATTAACAGAATTCATATAATGAATGTCATAAAAAATAATTAATGACTTAATTTTGTTTAAGGGCATTTTCAACATTTATGTCTTAAATTTATTAATAAAACTAAAATAAATTTTTGTTTAATTAATTTTTGCAATAGGGAAAATATTTAATTATTCATTCCAGTTACCCTTTGAAGATATTTAATATTCTGAGGGATATTATGATATTTAGCATTTTAATGAGATGAAAACTTTTTATTGTCTGAATGTTATAAAGTGAAGCATTTTTATACCAATTTTAACTAAAATCTCTGTCATGTTTCCTGCTATTACATGTGAATGATTTATATCTGTAACTTTTGTTTATTTTAGAAATTAATCAGAGAGACTAATTAGTTAAAAATACATTTGATAAATGTTTTCATAATTCTCTAATTTGAGTGTATAATTTTACTAGACGCTTAATATTTTTTTAAAAATTAAAACAAGTTTTGAGGCTCTGGTGCAGTGGCTAGCGCATCGCGCAGCAGCACCACAGGTAAGGTCAACTCAGCCTTTTATCCTTTGATTTCCATCTCTTGGGTCGATAAAATGAGTACCAAGTTTGCTTGTGGACTAAACACTGAGGGTCCTGTGACAAGCTGACCACTTGTTCAGGGCATATGCTTACGCACCCCGGGCACACGTTCAAGAAAGCATATTTTGGGGCACTGCAGGCCTTGGCCCATTACGCTTTTTGTGCCACTGATTTTAGTTTAAAATAAGTTTTAGTGGGTTCCTAACCATATTCTCATGATCTTTTATTATTATTATTACTTTTTCTGAAGTTATAAAACCATTAAAGTCCAAATTCATATCTAAATTAATTTTATTATTTTCCTTCCATATTTAATCATCTAATTTGTTTAGAAATTTATCAAGAGAAAGGGGAATACAGTTTTTGCAACATTTCTAGTTTGGAACATTGTGTATACACAACTTTAAGAAAAACTAAACTATTTTTAAAAATAGAACAAAGAATTTTATTAGGGTAATAAAAAAAATGGCAGAATATTATTTACAACAGATTATTTATAATTGACAGAAGATTATTTGCAACGCCTTCCAAAAGATCCAGTTTGATCCCAATGCTAACCTGTATAATCGTAATTTTGTTGGAATATCCATTGCATCCGAATTTTGAATCTGAAGTAAGCTGATATGCGTAAATGAACATTTGAGATGAACTTCAGACTCAGTGAGTTTATTGCATACATTTCAAAATAAATTATCTTTTGGGGGTTAAGGAAATCAGTAGACATCACTCTCCTATTGTACACAATACACCATTCCAGCATGATTCAGAAACATCACTTCCCCATTGCTTTTTTAAATGACACTCATTTTCTGAATCAGTGTAGACAGCGGTTTTTACCTTTTGACTAACACGTACCATCTAAACAAAAATTGAAAACCTTTAGTACCACCACTATAAACAGGGTTCGTACAGTCCCTAAGAGTCCTTAAATTTTGTGGAATCGATTTTTGGTCCTTAAAAGTCCTTAATTTTGGCCAAAATCAGCAGAAGATCCTTAATTTTAATCATCTGAAATTTCTGTCTGTTTTTACAACTGCCATGTTGAGTGTGAATTAGCATTTTTTGCGGAATATTTTTGGTGATTCACTAACATATGTGGTTATCTTTTGAATGGTTTCATGGGTTATAATTTGTTCCTATTTCTAATATAAATGATGGGATACTTGAGTTTCTAAGCAAGATGTGAAACATAAGCATGTCGAAATTCATTTTTTTTCCAATAAAGAGCACTTAAACAATTTTTCCCTTTTGGGAATGTGAATTTTTTTATTAACCTTTTGAGGCTGGGGCTTTGGTAGTAGTAAAAGCTATCAAAGGACAGGGAATCTTGAACCGAATGCTTTCCCCCCTTTAAGAAATCACCTCCTATTTGCAACAAAGATGCTTGTGTGTAGTTTAATGGGTTCTCAGAGGGGTGCATCTATGTCGCAAAAGGAAGACCTTTGAAAGAGATAAGTGGTTAAAACCCCAGGGACATCAAATTTGACATTTCATCCCACTTTTCTGCCTGGAAAAAGGGGGAAAAAGACATGGCCACTAAAGTGGACAACCCCGTCTTTTCAAAGAGAGGACTTTATGGCCACTATAATGGCGATTCCATCTTCAAAAGGTTAAACGGTTCTAAATTTGGTGACTTATCAACATTTTGGCGACTTTAAGATCAGTTTCTATAGAAAATTTTTACTCCGAGATCTGAGAATTTTTCAACGATTTTTTTAAAACATCATAACATTGATAAATTTATATTATAAGAAATTATATTTAAAAATAACATTAAAATAACAAACATTTTTATTTTTTGCTCTCATATTATAAAGTTTCATTTTGGCAACTTATTATACAATATTTTGAATCTGAAAAATAAACAAGGTATAATGCTATAAAAGCACAATTTACGAAGTAGCTCTTAGCAAAAGCAAAATTAGCTATGTAATTAATTTAAAATGTCTTCTTTTTAATTTTTTCATAGTAAGCGTTTTTCTCATGTAATTGTCTCAGAATATTCAAAATTCCCAGAATATGCATCAGTTTTCTCTATAAAATTAATTTTACACTTTTTTCCAAAGTATTTCTGGCTTTTTGCTGTTACAGAAGTGGTAGATATAATTTTTCTTTAGGATTTTAGGCATTGCAGTTTGGAAAGTTTAGAAGGATTTGAAGGCAAGATTCTGGAAGATTCGAGAAACATGTGACAAATGAAAAATGTCTCCATGGTATCAACATGTAATGGATGTATTTTACAGAAAGTTTGAGATGAATTTCTTACTTTTTGGAGAGTTTCTGGAAGAAAAATAAAAACATAATATTTGAATGTTTTACTTCTGATACTACAATCTTTTTCTTAACATGTCTATCTTCCCTTTATTTTCTTTACTTTTCACTAGATACAAGGATGGAAAATATCAAAAATGCATCTAATGTTATCACATGGGCAGACATTATAGAAAGGGATTTTTTTATTAATAAAGAAATTGAAAACTTACAATTTGAAAGATTCATCTAATATGTCTTAATGCAACATATACAGAACTGGTACTAGGCATTTTCTCACCTGATGCAATCTCTGTGGATCCTAAATTCTGCTGCTTAGTGCCTTTCTAAATTCTGCTTCCAATGCCTGCTCTAAATTCTAAAAGTTTTGCCATTTCTAGATTTTGTTGTTCGGTGTGTCACTAAATTCTAAAAATTCTGCCACACCAGCTCTGTAACCGGTCTTTACACTATATATATATTTCATATTTCTTCTGAATGTTCATATTGCTAAAGAAATCAAATTAGCCACTTTTTCTATACATTTTAAGTACATTTAGTATTTTTTAGAATAATAGAAATCTTTAATTAAATCCCAAAATTCTAAAACAGAAAGGAAATGTGCTGAAGAAAGAAACTGAATACATAAAGAAAATTATTCTTCAAAGATATGATCAGTTATTATTATGAAAATTACCCAATTGTTTATGATTTCAGCCTTTATTATAATTTCCGGTTTCTATTTCCTCATATGATAGAGTTACTGAGCCAGATTAAATTAAAATTAAATTGTATAATCTTTGACCACTAGTCCACACTTTTAGTTTGAATTTGACTGTTCGTGTTTAATGATGTGGCCGTGATCTGTAACTGATTTTGTTAGCATCGGAACATGCCTTTATGTTCTAAGTTCTTTTTAAATAAAAAGCTTATTTAAACCTTTGTCTGATATTATTTTCAGCCATAGCGATAATTTGCTTCAGGTTTGTCGGGGGGTTGGCACTATTTAACTTTTACCAGATCAAGTAAACCCTCATAGATACATTGTGGAGAGGTTGACAAGTTAGGAGATAAAACACACAGAAACTAGCGAGAGCATTGGTTTTCATATTGAGACAAATCTTTAATTGATAGAAAAGGAGCTTAAATAGAAGGAAATCAGTATAAAAAAGCCAAAATGTTTGGGAAGGCTTCAAATTAAAATGACGGATAAATATTTTGTTGAGTGTTGTTGTTACAAAACGTAGATGTATCGTAGCTTTTAATGTGTAATTATCCTAATGTTGTTTACGAATCAATGTCATAAATTACATCTATTTTAAACTGTGAAATTTTATTAGATTTTGATTTAAATAGGGCTATTTCAACAAATATTGTTAAAAAATAAAATTTAATAGTGGTCATGTAAATCCATAATGACTTAAGGTTATCTAACTACCTATTTTAATTACTTATAACTAATTGGTCACCCTTAAAAATTATCTCTACATATTAAAGTGAGTTATTGCCTTTCATTAAATACTCACTGTGATCACAAGATAAAACACAAAGATGTAAAAATTATAGTAAAACTTATTCTTTGCATCTAGTGAGACTTATAATACAAAACAACTTATCACCTCTGGTGCTTTACCCTTAAAGTATATTAACTGGGTTACAACCCCTGGAACTCTACACAAAGTTACGACACTAACTACATCAAACAGAGCCTGACTAACTTTCAACACTTGCCAACCGTGCCTACATCAGGCCTTTCAGGTTTGTTCTAATAAGCAGGTCTCTCTCTAGACAAGCAGCAACGGTGACAACATTGAGTCTTATATTATGAATCATGCTGATTATGATCTTACTTCTCATTTTAAGTAAACCCTCATAGGTATGCCGTTTGACATAAAATCT